TGTGAGAGGATGACATCTGTCAGTGTCCCCTCCCCTCCAATACACACACAGAGCCACCGACAGACACGGGAACACGCTGCATTACCTCTCCACCGCCTGTGTGTGCGATACAATGCAACACTGACCGCCAAACCCCTCCGCGTCCATCCCCTGACCCCACATATCCCCAAACCAATCACCCCGAGAGCCATGATGTCATACTACTGAGAGGGCGGGGCCTGATTGTTATGTACATAGGGAGATACACACAGACAGGGGGAGATGCTCTGCAGGCGTGTACGGGGATCAGTGATGGAATAATCTGCAGAATATATCAATATGCATCTGTCAGGGGGGAGATGGGACGGAGCAATGCTCTGCAGATCTCTAGAGGGGTCAGTGATGGAATAATCTGCAGAATATATCAATATGCATCTGTCAGGGGGGAGATGGGACGGAGCAATGCTCTGCAGATCTCTAGAGGGGTCAGTGATGGAATAATCTGCAGAATATATCAATATGCATCTGTCAGGGGGGAGATGGGACGGAGCAATGCTCTGCAGATCTCTAGAGGGGTCAGTGATGGAATAATCTGCAGAATATATCAATATGCATCTGTCAGGGGGGAGATGGGACGGAGCAATGCTCTGCAGATCTCTAGAGGGGTCAGTGATGGAATAATCTGCAGAATATATCAATATGCATCTGTCAGGGGGGAGATGGGACGGAGCAATGCTCTGCAGATCTCTAGAGGGGTCAGTGATGGAATAATCTGCAGAATATATCAATATGCATCTGTCAGGGGGGAGATGGGACGGAGCAATGCTCTGCAGATCTCTAGAGGGGTCAGTGATGGAATAATCTGCAGAATATATCAATATGCATCTGTCAGGGGGGAGATGGGACGGAGCAATGCTCTGCAGATCTCTAGAGGGGTCAGTGATGGAATAATCTGCAGAATATATCAATATGTATCTGTCAGGGGGGAGATGGGACGGAGCGATGTTCTGCAGATCTCTAGAGAGGACGTGTTACCTTCCCCGGTCACCAGATTCCGATTTGTTGGCTCAGATACTTTGTATCCGGTCATGGAGGACACACCTGACATCGCACAGATCAGATCACCTGTGAGGGGTCTCCTCTGATTGGACAGATCAGATCTGTAGATCTCCCTCACCTGTGGCTCTAATCAGACCCCCGCCCCATATGAATCACATGGGGCCTCTGCAGGGCAGCGAGGGGTTAAAGTCACAATGAGTCAGGTGATCGTCACTGCGAGCTGAGATTAACCCTTCGCTGACAGATCGATGAGATATTCGGCCCCCCCTGAGCCGGTCGGTAAAAGGTCGCCGGCGCTCCCCTGTTGACTCAACCAACCCGAACAATCCGGTTGGCAGGGATAGGAGCTACAAATCCCAGCATGCCTCTGTGAGTCATGCCTGCGGCTGTGCAAGGCCTCATGGGACTTGTAGTTCCACAACAGCCGGAGTTTGCCCTGCAGCAGAAACATTTAGGGGTTAAAAACAAAGCTTTTCCATCAGCGGGAGGGAAGAGAAGCTGCAAGGTGTAATAAGTGACGGACATCCACCGTACAGGCAATGAAAAGGTTAACAAATCGTTTTGTGTGAGGAGTACGCTGGCGCCACCTGGTGGACGAAAGCCGGAACTGCGCCGCTGTCAACCTGTCCTGATACAGGTGTTCCAGTGTCAAGGAAGAGGGGAGTTCCTCTAACTTCCTGTTGTCGGCTGCACAGGAAGTGAAGGTAAATTTCTCCAGTGGAGACACAAGCTCTGAAAAGGTGATCTAACCCTTCCCAGATCCACCTAAAACTACAACGGAAAATTGTATACTTACCTATCGGTAATTTTCCTGACGCCAATAAATGGCAGCATACAATGGGTATGGCCCCGCCCCCAGCCCATTGTATGTATGCTGCCATGTATTGGCGTCAGGAAAATAACTTTTTGACTTTCGATCACATGACCGGGGGGGAGAGACCACGGGGTCCCGCGCAGTGTATACAGTCACAAAGGATTCTGGGAAGGGTCCTATGCGTTATCCCCCTCACCATAGGACGAGCATGACGCTTTCTTCAAACTGAAATAGATTTGACGGATCGGTACGATGAATGACGCAGCTCCGCCACCAACCGTTCCCTATGAGGACGCGTCTTTCCCGGCTGCCATGCTGATCCGTCTGTCTCCGGTACTCGAAGCCACGGGCCCGGGGACAAGTATTGCCGATCGCTGATCACGAGCCGACTTCACGCAAAGCACGGCTTGTTGCGTCGGGGGATCAAAGTACGGACGCCAGAGGTAAGTCGCGTGATATGCCAGTCGCCTGGCCGTCAGGCTCGTCCTCGCATGTGCTGCAGCCCCGGAAAGCAATATACAGTTTAAGAAAGCCCGAGGATCAGCATGCCAGCCAGGAAATCAGCATTTGCAGACAGTCAGCACTGACACCTCTCCAGTGACGGGTTGACGTCTGAGCTGCCTGTCTGCAAATGCTGCTTTCCTGGCTGTCATGCCGATCCTCCGGCTTCAGTACTAAAGCCAATCAATGCTGCACAATTCATTCCTCCATATTTTTGTTTTCAGGACTGAAATCTTCGTGAGAAAATCATTTTTCGGGGGAGGGGGAAGAGAGGATTTGATTGGGAAATCGTCTAAAGAACTTCATTCCCCAAATTCCTCCGGACGCTTAGAGCCTCGGAATCCGGGATCCTTAAAGGGACAGTCCGCAGCAGCCCAGGAGGGGGGAGACCCGGGGAGGGGG